CCTTCCAATGTAATTCACATAAACCTGACAAATTAAGCATATGAATATTTGGAACCCTAAGTCCTTTGAGTATTACAACACTGTGTATAAAGTTAATAAATAAATTGCATTGTAAACTGTAAATATAAATTAACTACTTGATTAGATGTTTTAAATTGACATTGAACTATAACTGCAATGTAACTCCTAAGCATTACAAGGATATACAACATTGGCTATAGGTTCTTTTAATTTGAAAAATATTGATATTATCTTTTAACTTTCTAAATTATTTGTCCTCTGTTTTCTCAATTCTGAGACTGAAAGATACTTTATCCTTTTAAGAGTCAAGTCCTATTCTAGTTAATCTAGGCTCTCATGACCAAAGGTCTTAGCCTGAACCCTGCAGGTTTTCAGTACACCTTATTCATACTTTTAATTCTATGATTCAAGGAAGGTATGCCACCTGGCTTACATCACTACATTTAAGCCATATACACCATCTCTTACCTAAGTGTATGCACGTAAATCTACAACTCCCTCATTCTAGCCACAAGGACAAATTATTAGTTCTTTGCCTCTTGAAACATGGAAATGTACTGCCCAGGTCTTGAAGACTTGATTGTGGTTGGTTTTCATGCTTTTTGTTGACATTTTAACATTATAAATATTAGAATGAACTGTGAATGTTTTCCTTGTTTCTCAAAGCCATAGTTGATGATGGAAATACTACTCTCTCTCTCTCTCTCTCTCTGTGTGTGTGTGTGTGTGTGTGTGTGTATTAACCTAATCTTTGTCTGCCAGGCCATTTGAGAGCTAACTTTATTCTCTTCTCCACCTTGGTGTCCTGTGATACCTCCTCTTCTCTAAGGCAGTGAAAGAAGTCTTGATTGAACAGGACCCTACACAGCACTCTGGAAGTCCTTCTACAGTTTCTCTTTGTGTGTAAATCAGCTTGGGTTGGGGCTGCTTTGGAACACTTGCAGGGCTTGACCTCTGCACTTCACTATAGAGCCTCAGGCTCAGTCACGGGAATCCTGGGCCACATCAGCTCCCCAAGTCACTAGGACATAGTTTTTCTAGCATTATTCCAAAGATCAGCTTCCAGAATGGCTGCCTCTACTTCAGTCTCATCTGCAGGGACATAACTAGGGTGTCAAGGGCCTTGTGAAGGTCCCTATTAACTAGGCTCTGGGCCTTCGTACACTGCACAGCTCCTCAAAGGCCTATCTCCTTGTAAAGCAGCTGGAGTCTGAAAGATCATCTCCTGTCTTATCAAGGGCTCAGGACTTTCACCTGAGATTGACTTAGATTCGTTAGCGTTGTCCAGTATCTTCCTATTTTCTCTTTTTAAAAAAAATTAAGGCATTTTCTTCTATTCCATGCACGCCACCACCAAATCTTTAGGCAACGGCTCCCGTGTCCCTGGTTGGTGTCTCAGCAATTATTGGATGGGAGTCAGAGATGTTACTGTTAGCTTTATGCCATCTAGGCGGTGAACGTGTGTTTTCCATGCCCGAAGAAACAAAGAGAAACATCTTCTTGTAAAACAAACAAATCCCCCAAACCCAGAACAAAGCAAAAAAAACCAAAAGGCACATGCAGAAGAGCATTTGTGTAAATCGATACAGACCAGATTCCTTAACTGCTCTTTTTGTCTTGGACACTCGAGTACCTGGCCTAGTGTTCATCCGAAGAGCAGTTTGATGAGACGGGCTTCTCACGCGTGGCTACTGACCACTGCTGCCTCTGTTGTTTCCCCCTTAGCTGTCTAGTAGTCCCACAACCCTGGCTTTCCCTTCCACCCTGCCACCATCACTTCCCTTTTCTTCTGATTACTCTAATCTATCACAAGAATGTACTTTGTTTCTGGGGAAATATTGGCACTGGGACTTACCTCTCATGTGAATACTGTTTCTAAATCCCCACTTAACCGAGCAGTCATCCACAACCGACCACTCTCAGACGCCTGGCGGAATGGCCACTTCTTCGACCTGGAGGAAGTGCGGACTTCCTTCTGGAGACTCACTGAGAGGCCAGAAGCTGAAGTGCTTGACGCAAATCTGATGGGCATTGTTGAAGTCTGCATGCTGCTGTGCCCCAAATTCTATGTTCAAACCGAGGCCTTTAAAAGTGCGGATTTTCAGGAAGCTTCAGCCTTCTCAGTGGGGCTAGTAAAGGGGCTACCAGGGGGCCGCTTTGCCCATCCCTCCATGTGAAGACACAGCATTCTTCCTTTCTGCCTTCCTGTTACATGAAAGAGATGCAAGATGCAGACTCTACTAGAGCCTTGATCTTGAATACCTGCCTTTAGACCTATAAGAAATACTACTACTGCTCAGTATCCTAATCTCAGGCATTTTGTTATAGCAGCAGGAACAGAGTAGGGAGGAGACTGTGAATATTTCAGGACTTGACAGTCTGGGCATTCAGGGCCAGTAGAGGAACTGAGAGAATTCCTATAGTTTTTCCCAGGCTCAGTCTGGGACCTCTATGTGCCTTCCCTTACATTTGTCCAGTGAATGCTGGCAATGTAAGGAGGGACAAATAATACCAAAGTTGTTTGATATAACTTCATGGAATCATATTATTTTATATTTTCCTAAAATTATACATAGTGTATATAACTGTATGTATACACACATAGGATTAATATAGATATAGGATATGGTTTTTTGAGGTTTTGTTTTTGTTGTTTGTTTGTTTGTTTTTTGAGACAGGGTTTCTCTGTGTAGCTTTGCACCTTTCCTGGATCTCACTCTGTAGACCAGGCTGGCCTCGAACTCACAGAGATCCGCCTGGCTCTGCCTTCCCAGCACTGGGATTAAAGGCGTGGGCCACCACCGCCCCGGCTATGTTATGCCACTTAGGCTGGCAATGCTCTCCACAAGAACTACACACTAACAAAAAGCCCAGTACCAGGCACTAGAAACCTCCTGGTTTCTCAGAGTAATTCAAGTCACTTCCAAAGCAATGTAGACTATTAATATAGCCTCAGTGGTTGAAGGTAAGCCCCCATTGCTGAAGACAGCTCCTGCATCTATGGCTCAGGGAACGTCATGGAAGAAGGAGCGGGAAGATTGTCAGGGCCAGAAAACCAGGAATTTTGTGATGATGTAGTCTCCCCTATAGATGGCTGCACAAACAAGGTTGAAACGGTGACAGTATCCATGGGCATGCTGACATTGAAGGGGCACATTTCCACAGGGTCCTACCCCTAGACGAAGAACTAAAGGCTGGGAGAAGAAGTGAATGCTGACAGAAGGAGAATTAACCTCTCCCAGGGATGAACCCCTTTATTGGTTGTCCAACAGATACTATCTACCCTGAAACCATATACACACTACCAACAAAATGGAATCAGCAGGGTTTGTTTGTATATTTGTACACACACACACACACACACACACACACACACACACACACACACAACACAGCCTGTGTATAACAATATACATATGTAGATGTAACCAAAGGTCTTATAAAATAAGAAACACAGAGCCAATTCAGAGAAGAAAGCCAAGAGGTCAGAGCTAAGAGCCTCACCCTTCCTGATTCAGGGATCCTCTCCAGCCAAGAGAGCTCTCCGAAAGGGACCTACTTCCTGTGTGTCTGTCCTTAAAGTCTTCCTGTTCTGCCTTGTCATTGGTTGTAAACCCAAACATGTGACTGCCTCGTCACTGCCTGAATGTACCGCCCTCCAGGTCCTTAAAGGCGTGCGCCACCGACGCCATGCACTTGCTATGACTCTAATAGCTCTGACCCCCAGACAACTTTATTTATTAACATACAATTAAAATCACATTTCAGTACAAGTAAAATACCACCACATACATATGTGTGTGTAACAATACAGTGAATGTGTGTGTATAACAATAATAAAGAACAAGAGGCTGCCAACTTGAGGTGGGGACATGGCAGAGGTTGGAGGGAGAGTGGCTGGGAGGGGAGAGAAGTAGGAAAGGGAAGGGGGAAATGATGTAATTCAATTTCAATTAAAAATACATGTTTTAAGAGGGGGATCCTGCCGGGCGGTGGTGGCGCACGCCTTTAATCCCAGCACTCGGGAGGCAGAGCCAGGCGGATCTCTGTGAGTTCGAGGCCAGCCTGGGCTACCAAGTGAGTTCCAGGACAGGCGCAAAGCTACACAGAGAAACCCTGTCTCGAAAAACCAAAAAAAAAAAAAAAAAAAGAAAAAAAAAAAAAGAGGGGGATCCTGTTCATATTAGCTTTGTGACTGGCAAACAAGGATCCTGCTCCAATGTTGTCTTTTCAGTCCTCATCTGCTGCCCCACCTGGAGAACTCACACAAGCCAATCTGGCCTTTCCCAGTGACAAATGCTCTCTGCTGGCTATTGACAAGCTTTAATTGCTAGAGTAGGTGGGACCCAAATGCCTTTATCTGAAAGCCCTCTCTATCTGTTAGTAACTTATAATAAATAAAAGTATATGTATGTAATTTATGAACTATAGTCTCAGACTCAGTATTATCAAACTTACAAACTGTTATAAGCAAAGGACTACCAGAATGGTGAGAAAACGTTTTCTGTAAGCTTGCCAAAATATTTACTTTTTCTGCCTTTTTAACATGTACTTTATGGGATTGACTTATGCTGAAGCAAGAGCAACAGATAGTTTTGCCAGCTAGCCTCCAGATAGAACCATGAAGGAGAATTCAGTTAAGTGTTCAGGGGCCCAGGATCTCGTAGCATTCTCCACCAAAGGCACCATCTGCAAGCAGGCTGGGCTACCAGCCTCACCCCATCTAATGCATGCAGGGAAAGAGTATCTTTCTAATCACCTTGGTCAGCTACCTAACTCGCAAACCTCCAATTCCACCAGGGGAGAAAACACTAATATAGCTTATCGTAATTAAAAACACTCTGGTGCATGTTTAGATAAGGATATTAGGAACTATTGGTCATATGCATTTCTAATTAGCTTAGTGCATGTGCTAGCTAACACCTCGATAGTATATATTAAAGTTCATTTGTGCACACACACACACACACACACACACACACACACACACACACACAATGCTGCAAATACTGACAAGTTTTACAAAATGGCAAAATTAAAATTTCCTTGCAATGGCCCTTTCCCCAGTCCCCATCTGGACACCCCTTGGGGGCTGGCATGAGAAGTCACCTCAGCTGGTGTCCCTTTGATGGCTGTAGCTCCTGGTAGATCATCCTTGTCCTCTCCTTTGGGGGGTCTCATTTCACCCCATCTTTTTCTTCCAGGCATCTGGACACCACTCCAGCTGATGCTGTATTCAGAGACTCATTTTCTTTTTATTTCCTCCCGAAAAGACTTGAATGACTGATCGGTAAAAGACTTGACTGTAAGCATGGATCCAAATACTCAACATCAGAAGTCCTGGCTCTGCTTCCCTAACGTGAGTTCTTAGTCCTCATTAAAACAATCATTCTACCCACTGCCTAAGATGAGCAAGGAATAATTATGTTCCATCTGGGAACATTTGCTTTAGATCTTAGACCATGTCGATAAATGAAGAATGAACTAAGATTTTTATTGCCAAGACAGGTTAATTCTCATCTTAAATCATACATAATCAGCTCACACTTATGGACAGGTATAGAGATGGCTGAAGGGTTAGTCAGGAGGAGGTGAGAAGCGCATGCGTGAGGGGAGAATATGAGGGTAGGGAGAAGGTGGTAGGAATATGGTTGGTACTATGGGAGGCTGGACCTAGGAAATGTAACATTTCAAATATCTCCCATAAAAATTCTCTAGTTATCCAGCCACCCAAATCCTTCTTTCTCCCCCAAACTTGTAAAATTTGCTTAGTACACTGGTAAGAGTTCTATAACACTAAGATTTGTTTTGTAAATTTTTATTCTAGAACTAAACAGAAAAATTCCAGGTTTTAAAGTCCTAATCTTACCGTAGCTGAAGACATCATATGCAGCCAATGATGAACCAAGACTTGGAACAAAACTCGTCAATATTTTTTAATGTTAGAGTTCTGAGTAAACAGATAACCAGGTTTATTATTCAGTAGTAGAGACATCATGTTACTAGGTAAGTTCTAAAGCTATAATTTTGTGGTTGCCATGGTAATGGTAACAGTGGGAGTGTTGTTGGCTACTGTAGACTGAACTAGAGACACTGAATGGTTATCTGCAGGGTGTCAATATGAAGCTTATTGTTGAACGAGTCCTTACTGCGCTGTCTTGGTCTCCTCGATTTTTAGCAGCCTAAGGAAGAATGAGTTTTGTGTCTGCCATTGTCTGCCGTATGTCACCCATGCAGGCACACGAGCTACCTCACTTCGTAACACCTGGAATCACCCAATGGTTTTAAGTTCAAGGAGATTTTTTTTTTTTGCTCTTTTAAAAAAAAGTCTAGAATTTTTACATATATTTGCATGTTGACTTTTAAACATATGGAATCATCTATACAAAAATAAATTTGATTGCATCCTACTATTTTGCAGGCCAAATTCAATTCAAAGAATTGGCATGCAAAAAGAGGTCTCAGTTGATTAGTAGAAAAAAAGAAGAAAAATGCATATTGGGATGTAGGGACTTAAGGGAAATGAAGAAGCCATTTTCAAACCTTACTGCATTCATGAATGGGACCCTTTAAAAAGAAAATTTAACCCAAGAAGACTAATTCAATCGACTTTAAAAATATCCCTTTTTTCACTACTCATGGTCCTGTCTTCATTTCTATAGCAGAATGGCTGAAGAAGCACCTGAGGAGAGCCAGATGGCTGCTTCAGTAGAGTCTTGGCACTGAAGATGTCATTGTCACTGATTTGTATGTGACTGCTGTTTCTTTGTGGATGTGAAATATGAAGGAGTTAATTTCAATAAAGTTATCAGGGGCTGCTACCTCCCTCTCAGCTTGCAATTTCCTCTAAGAGAAAAGTGCTTTGTGTTCTGGTCTCTTACCAAATGCTCACATTGACCTCCCTCATTTTCAGAATTCACATAGCAACTGTTGCTATATTTTCAGAAATAGGGTTTTCCTCTTTCTTTTTTCAGCTAGAAAAACAAAATGCAACTGAAAAAAAAAAAACAAGTTCAAATGTTCAAAGTAGAAAACATTCCCCAAATCACATAGCCAAGGGATAATTTCTTTATCTTGCAAAACTCCCTGATGACATATATTATCTTATGATTTTATTTTCAAAAGTCAGCTTATTTCAGATGTATGAAATTCAACTTTCCTTTTGTTGTTGTTGTTGTTATTTTTTAACTTTGCAACATATTGAGAAGATTTCCCCATGCCAGGTTATAAATCTCTTTCTTTTTTAAAATGCATGTTCAGTATTCTGACTTTTTACTGTTCCACAATTTAACTACTAGCACCTCATTGATAGTCCTTTAATGATTTCCAATCATTAATTATGAATAATTTTACAATATTTTACAACATATTAGTGTAAATGTTCTTTGTGTCCATTTGTGATGTTGCAATGAGGAGGAAAGTTATGCTGTTTCTTAAAATGAAATTATATAGAAAAGGACAGAAAAAAAGAGCAGGTTTCGAACCTTTCACCAAACTATCTCCCAGAAAGATTGAGAAGTTTATACTACCACCAGCAGCAAACACAAGGGCTTGGATGTGCTTTCTTGGGCATCTTATACGTAGGTACACTGGTCTAAGCTAGTGCAGTGGTGATGCTATAATATAGGTACACCCTGACATATGGAGTTAAATCTTTGCCCACAGAGTTCCTAGGACCCAGGATACATACCAGCTGTACACAAGACAGTCAGCTGAAAGTGGGGGGAAGGGGAGAAATATTTCTTTGGCAAGCCTTTCAAGTCAACAGTGGCTTGTCATGTTATAGTTAACCTTCATTGCTAACTGGATTGGATTTGGGATCACCTAGGAGACATAGACCCCGTGTATGTCTTCAAGGGCATTTCCAGAGAGGTTTAACTGAGGACAGAAGATACACCTTGAATGTGGGTGTTCTAGACTACGTAAAATGGGGGAGGGGTGCTAATATCACCTCTCTCTCTGCTTCTTGGTCTACTCAGATGAGAGCAGGCAGTCATGCGCTACTGCTGCCGTGCCTTGGCCATCCTGATGGACTGTATCCTCTCAAACTTTGAGCCATCTTTCCCCTCTTGAACTGTTTTCTGTCAGATATTTCATCACAGCAATATGCAGTATAACCAGTAAAGGGTAGTTCTTAGCAGTGGTGCTTCACTGGTTAACAGCTTCGACTCAGAGTCTTTGGACCCATTTCAAGACAATGGTGAGCTACCAAACTTGGCGTAGCGGGAGAAGGAGGATGTTTCTCTAATGCAAAGGGCATGATAGAGTGTGATGTGATCTACTTTAACGAACCAGAAACGAAAGTTTTATGCTTTGTTTAGGTCGTGACGGAGCCTCACTGGGCAACGTAACTAACTTCATTAACTTTCACAAATTCCCAATTCTTTGAGACACACGTACAAGTGGCCCCCAAAGCTTTTGCCTTCATTCACTCATTCACACTCATCCAGAAAACACTCTCTAGATGGATACGTGTCAGGCATTGTGCTAGATAAAATGAGGGAGACGGAACAGCATCTCAAACTGGCTCTTTAAGTTCATCTTCAATGGCAACCAGGCATGCTGATTGTGCAACACCATTCTTTCCTCGCTACCCCCTCATTTCCGTATACAGTGTGGACATTTTTTTTTTCCAATGGCCATCTTTAAAGACATGACAAAGCATATACAGTGTGGACTTTTATCTCCAATGGTCATCTTTAAAGACACAACAAAGCACAGAATACTACTGTGAGTTGTTCAACATAAGAAACCTGCCACATCCAAAGTGTCAGGGTTCCTGTTGTAGGAACAGAAAAACAAGAAGGTCAGTTCCTGTGCTCACAGAGCTTGTCCTGCTACAGGGAAGCAGACAGGCTCAAGGCATTCCCTGGTGATGTCTGAACTATAGATACAGGAATGATGATGCTATGAGGTCATAAAACTGAAAAAAAAAATAAGATAAATTCTCTATACTGTGATGTGGTAGACAGAATAGTCATGCCCTAAAATGTCTGTGGTTTAACTCCTGGAGTCTGTGAATACGTTATTTTAAATGCAAAAGGGACTTCTGGGTATCATTAAGGATTCTGAAAGAGGGAGAGTTCTTGGACAATCTAAGTCCAGTGTAATCACAGGGTCCTTGAATAGGGAGGAAGGAGGAATGGGGTAGGGGTAGGGTGGGGAGGCATAGACTATGGACAAAAGGTAATGCTTAAAGATAAGTTTTAAGATGTCAAGGGGGTCATTCGGCAAAGAGTGAAGATGAGCTCTAGAAAATGGAAAAACAAGGAAATGGTTCTCCTCTTTAACCTTTGGAGGAAACACAGATATGCTGGAACTTTGATGTTAAACCACTAAAAGCCATTTTGGATTTTAGTTTTTATTTATCATACAGGGCTACATAAGGTCATTTTCAGGTCAGTTTCTCACGCACCGGAAGCATATTCTCCCCCATTCTTTGTTACTCTCTCCCTTCACATCCCCTTTGGTCCTCAGACAGTTTTGTTCCCACTTTCATATTTTCAGTACATATATGTAGCTATGTATCTATAATGTCTACGACCTGCAAGTGAGGGAAACATACGGCAGCTGCCTTTCTGAGACTGACTGAATTTGCTTTGTCTCATCATCTGCAGCTGCATCCACCTTTCTGCAACTGATGGCGTATCTTCATCCTTCTTTCCAGCTGTCCTGGAACTCACTCTGTAGACCAAGCTGGCCTCAAACTCAGAGACCCAACTGCCTCTGCTTCCTGAGTGCTAAGATTAAAGGTGCTGACTACCATGCCCAGCTCAATGTAGTTTTTAATCTGCCTTTCTGTGGTGGCTAAGGATGTGTCTGATTTTTTTTTTATTCTTATTGACCGTACTGTATCTTTTGAAAACTATGTGCTCATATCATTAGCCCATTTATTGGTTGGGTATTTTATTTCTTGTTACTTAGTTTTTCAGTTCTTTGTGTGTTCTAGACATTACTCTTCTGTCACATGTACGGCTGGCAATGATTTTTCTCTCGTTTTGAATTTTTTTCTTCCATAATTATATGCTAATAAATATTTTTTAAACCACTACACTTAGGATTTCTTATAACCGCAACTGAATGAAGATTAGAGATAGTTAAGGAATGGATTGCAGGGGAACGTTATTTGAGGTATTTGCAGGATTCTGTAGGTGGACATACAAAATGGGCTTGCAGGGGACAGAAAAGCAAGGGAACAGGCACAGGTGTGAGAAAAGACAAGGTGCAGAGTTTTCAAACGTGCAGTTCCTTCAAGAAAGGAGAATCCCAGAGCAGAGACATAAAACCAAAACCTGAAAAACAAAAACAAAAACAAAAACCTGACTGTAAGCACACACTGACTAGAGATGGCTTCAGAATCAAAGCCAAGGAGGTCACTCACCAGCAAAGGCAGGAAAGAGGTTTTGCTCTTAAAGACTCAGCTAGTGTCATGTGAAGTGGAGTGGGAAGGACGTGTCATCGGAGAGCAACGCAGTGCGAAGGGGGCAGGAATGTGGCGGCAAGAATGAAAGCAAGGAGACGTAGTTAGGGAGTAGCGCCGCACTGAGCCAAGGTGCCTGAACTTCCGCAGGACAACACGGGAGGGATTGGAAGAGGCCAGGGAGGCGGTGTGCTGTGTTCCTGTGCCCTCTGTAGACTGCCATCTACCTGCTTCAGGGCCAATCTTTGACATAAAGAGGAGGGATTATCTTCTTTGGTTGGACATCCCATTTACATGAACCTATAATTTTAACTGGCATGCATAGAGCTGACTTGTAAGGTTTTGAAGTGGGGCAGCATTGTGGGATATGTAGAATGTCAGAGCAGCACTTGGGAGCCACAGAGTATAATGTAACTGGGTTGCCTGGAAGCCAGGGGCCTGGGTTACACAGTTTCCTGCAATAAGCATCATGAACTTGAGAACGTCATCTTTGTTTCTCAGACTCTTTCTTCCCTTACTGAGATAAGGTGTTTTTTATGTGGTGGGGATATAGTTCTGTGGTATTCTTTAAACATTTTTCACACTG